TGAACTTTGAAGTGACTTGAGTTTTCAATCTCTTCATAGTCACCGGATTATTGGTGCAGTAAATGGTTCTCTAGTATTTGGCTTCATAGCGTCCTTCGCAACTCTTGTGGTAATTACCATCCTTCTTCAATGTTATTGCTTAGATGCTTGTAATTATCCATAGAATTCATCAGAAAGATCTGTTGGGTACAAGCAGTTCAGTTTAAATCTCTTGAGGAATTTGTTTGGAATTGTTTTAACTTGGCAGTCTTCATCATAAGACGAAGATTTGGTAATTGAGTCGATTATTGTTGCCACTGCCATTGCTTGTAGCGCTGGATTTACATATTGTTAGGAAATATACAGCATAATGCAGACACCAAATTGAGGCTAACCTAGTTCAATATCCAATAACCGAATTCAACAGTTCAATCATGCAATGACAGAGTTCAATAACCAACAGACTTCCCTATGAACTAAACAACAGATTCAGCAATCACAAGAATTTCCAGCATACATTAGCATATATAATGCAGAAGTCATAAGAATACATAGAAGCTGAAAACTGAAAGCATAAATCGAGACAAAAAAGGGCAGAACTCTACTTCCCTTCCCGCGTCTTCCCTTCTTCACTAGCCGAAGTGTTTAGGCTCAGGAACAGCCTTCCACGCCATGCAAATCACCGTCCATAGAGAGTGCAAGAACCAGCCAGAACCAACCAACACTTGGTTTGGATCATCGATCAATCGGTCTACCAATAGCAGCCAAGATCGAGCCCTAAATCGAACTTAAACCCCCCGAGAAACCAACACCACCCAGTCCGTATTTAGACCCAAGTGTATACAGGTATTTTTCACAAAATAGGCTTAAGGATTGGCTTCATGGAACGCCTAGATGAAGAGGAAGAGAGACGAACCAGAGAGCTTTCTCGAAGAAGAGGGAAGAGGAAGTATCTGTAGGAAGCTAAACCCACGTGAAATATAGAGACTCAAACTCAAGCCATGAGAAAATATCTCCCAAGAATTAATCTCAACCATTCAATTTATCCAAAGGCCAAAATTGAAAGTAGCACAAACCGGGTCAGCCCAATGGGTTAGGAGAACCACAAAAGCCCACTTTCTTCACCTTGGTTCTCATAACACACTCTCTCGGTTGCGGATTTGCACATGGAAGAATTGTTCATCATCATCGCCTACTACCTGCATGAAAAAATTAACCAGTAACAATATGCAGTAAAGATAAGTATAATTTAAATTTACCTGCAGGCATAATTTTTGTTTCCACATCAGAGGGATTCCTATTATTATGAATCTTAACAAGTTGCTTCTCACGAATAAAATGATATTTCACCTCAATATATTTAAATCTCTCATGATAAACAGAGTTTTTACTAAGCGACAATGCACTTTGACTATCAGTAAAC